TTATACATAAACCCAGACGAATCCATTCAAATATTGATGCATTATCATGACTTGAGAACTAGACACACCCTATCTCTACTCCTGTAATATGAATTTAAATCACTACCAGAATTTGGTAAACTATTTAGAAACAAACAAAATTTTCTCTGACTTAACAGACTTTGAAAAACAGATACTTGTAAAACAATCTAGATTTTATCAACTCAAAAACAATTTACTATACAAAAAGAATCAAAAAGATCTAGACAAACCAATTCGAGTAATTAAATGGAATGAAGTAGAACTAGTCCTCTATATGATACATAGTCATCCAACTGCTGGACACTTAGAAACTGATGCTATGTATTATAAAATATCTGAAAGATATTATTGGAACCAAATGTATAGAGATATACAGAACTATGTTTGCTCATGTGAGACTTGCCAAAAGAGAGAAAAAGGCAAAAGAAAAGAACCCCTCTATCCTATTCAAGTAGAACGAGCTTTCGAATGTATTGGTATAGATCTAGTAGGACCTTTACCAATCACTATCCAAAATAATTGATACATTATTGTAGCTACTGACTACCTTACCTGATGGCCTAAAACAAAAGCTGTACCAGATGCTGGAGCAGAAACTTTAGCCAAATTTATATTCGAAGAAATTGTGTGTAGACATAGCGTACCAAAGATGATATTCTCTGATAATAGAAAAAATTTCATCAGTGAAACTGTGAGAATTTTGTACGAAAAATTCTTGATAAAATACTTATTTTCTTTTCTATATCATTCTCAAACTAATGGTATGGTTGAACACCTAAATCGAACACTTTGCAACTCTCTTGCAAAAGTAAGAGAAACAGATGAAGACTGAGATATACATATATTTGCCGTCTTATTTTATATAGAACCAAGCGACATGCAACTACAGGATACATACCTTTTCAATTAGTATATGGACAACAAGCTATACTACCTATTGAAACTACTCTGCCAATAGAACCACAAGAAACAGACCAAGAAATATCGTTAGAAAATAGTATCCTACAACGAGCATTTGAATTGATAGATGAGTTACTCTATCAATATAGTTAAGCTCGCAAAAATATTGACAA